CTAATGTAGTCTAAGTGTATTCCAAGTGCATTTAGCCCATTACAAGCTCAATTTTATTTTGAATGGATAATTATTGATTAGAATTCTTTTGCAATGTATTTAAGGCAAAATAAAACTGCCCCAAAAAAACGTCTAAGAATCACGAAAGGAAGCACTTTTTTTTTCTTGGCCGTTAGACCACAAGAAGTGATGAAAAAAAATTCATTTTTTAAGAATCTATAGCTCATTGAATTCTCTGCATAATGTTCAATAACGTTCTTGATCCGATGCTTTCTTACTCCACTACATCGTTTCTACGAATGGACCGAAAATGACCCAAATGGGGGTAAAGGGTTAAGAAGGAAGAAGTTTGAAAGCTGTCTGTCCATAAATAAATTGTTCTTCAAGCTTTTTGGAACCGGTTTAGACAAGTTGTTATCGACACTTAAAGTCTAAGTGAGTCAAGAGATTTTAGAGTTAAAGACGGAAAAAAATGTTTGCAACGAAGTCTGCTAATTTTGCTTTTGTGTATCATAGTGGTGTAGCAGGAAAGTAGAAAACAAGGGTAGTAGGATTTTTCCGGCTTAAAAAAAGTCGTTTCGACTTTAGAAGGTCGAGCAACCTAACAACATTTAGGTGTGCCGCGTTGCTCTTCCGATGATACTTTTGTACTAATAAATCTAACTTTAAGCAAATACGTTATTGAAAACCTTGAAACACTTCCTTACTCGAGGAAGTTGCTTCATCTTTCTTTAATACTTCAGATGTATGGGAAGCTGCAGAAACTTCAGAAAATCAGGTAAACTCTCGTGTACCTTTAAACCGTATTACTGTTGCTCACTATAAAACTGATCAAGAAGCAAGTGGTTTGAAAGTTGTCTGTCCATAAACAAATTGCTCTTTAAGCGTTTTCAAACTTTCCTACTTTCCTAACTTCTGAAACTTGCTTTCCTAACTGAAAATCAATCTTTATCTGTTAAAGTAGGTTTCGAAAAGTGTTCTCTTGTATTTTTGGTTCAATGTCGTTTTCAGTTTGCGGCAAATGTAAATTCTGCATCACGCCTTGCTACCGTGTATATAAACACTAAAAATAAGCCCGTAATATTTTTTCCTCTTTAAATTGGGGTTCTTTACGACAAAACTCAGACATTATTACCTGTCAGTTGTTTCTGATATTCATAATAATCATTAGTGACCAAGAATCCATTTTTATAATATTTGATAGTAGTCTCAGCTGATTGATCCACGTCATTTAATAACTCATAATCAATCCAAATAAATGTGGGACAATTGTTTACTACGGGCTGACTTTGTGTCAATTGTTCGTGAAGATTTAAAAAGTAACGATATTGAATGTTCCATTTCTCCACTTGTGCTTCTTCCAATTTATCGCTGGTGTAAAACACATAAACATCTTGTTTGTCCTTAAAACGTGAGTAATTTTTTAAGCGCTCACTGTATTTGACTACTTTGATACCTCTCTTGCTTAAATATCGAATCTGATCAATCTTTTCCAAAAGTGATTGATTTTGATCCAAATATCGATTTATGCTATATGATGACGATTTAGAGTTCGCGAATTCTTCAATTATTTTATCGATTGAGCTGATTTCAGATGTCGGTGACGAACGTACACGTTTTAATGTTATCGCTATATTATAACGAAATTTTCGTTGGTCCAAACCTATTTCTCTTTTCATTTTCTGCACACTCTCATTAGTAGCAGCCGTTAAGTAATCTTCAACATCTTTAACCTCACTTGCAAACTCGTCGAATTTCTGAACTGCTTTTGCCCGGTCATCAAATTCTTGGTCAATCTGATGTAGTTGATAGTCGTCTAATTCAAGATTTATACGGTCTATAGTAGTTTCAAGTTTGAATGATCTTGCAATATTGTCCAACGGGTACAAGAAATATTCTAACGGTTTCCCTTTCCCATCGTTTATTTTATTGATAGCTGATGGTATCGTTTGCAGAAAATCATAAACTTCTTCAATGACTTTAGGCACTTTGCCTTCGATTTGAATGTCGCCGGAAATTTTGATATTGACTGATCCTTGCTCGTTTTTACTAGTATTTTGGTATTCAAGAGATGCGCCACCACTCACTTCTACAATTGCTTTGAATTTATTTAGTCCGGCATCCAATTTCCCCTGAACTTCTTTTTTTTCCTCTTTTGATTTGACTTGGTTTTCAAACGATACAATCACATTAGCACCCCATCTAATTCCTGTTACCACATGTGTTGCATGAGAATGTGATAACATTGTTGTTGATATGAGATTTTCTACTGACGTGTGATTGATTGTAATATGATCTTCGACTGTCTCAACACGATAGATGATGTCGACTTTTACTAAACGGGATATATCTTTGTCCATATCGAGGTAACTACCTGATGTTTCCAGTTTGGCTACACCGCTCATGATATTCAATTTGAAATTTCCATCGACTTTCAATTGCTTTAACTTTTCTGATTGTGTGCTTGAATAGTCCAGATGAAAATCTGTATGTCTGATTTCAACCGGTTTTTCAAGCAATTCAATGGGTAGTCTATCTTTGAAAATAGAATCACCCGTGAAAGTATCTGTGCGGATATCATAAAGTGATCCGAGAAAGCCAATACGTCCAAGAGCTTGGCGTTTGATTTCACCGACTGCTTGATATGCCATGTTTTACTTCTTTAAAAAGTTTGTGTAATTGTAATGTAACGTTCGTTTGTGTTTTATTCTCTGTATATGTATGTCCAAATGGGCTCTTTCGGAAGAAGTTACAACTTGAGTTGCGCAATATTCAAGATGCTTAATGTTTCTATTAGAGCCTTAGCGTATAGCACATCTTTTTTATTCGCATATAAGAATACAAATGTGACATTAGGTAGCCTATGCGGAAGGAAAGAAAAGGATTTTTTTCTCTCGCATTTTCTTCGTGTTCTATTGAAATGACGTATGAGAGACTTTTGATTTCACTCATACAGAATAATATGAAATTAGATGAAGAATTCGGTGATCAACATTGAAATACACAACGTCGAACACCAACGAGGCACGAACTATAAGACCGGCGAGGTACACAGGACTGCAGTAAGCGGTGGTTCAGTTTTATTGTAAGCATAATGTTCGTCACTGATTTCTGAATATCTCGAGAACGAAACGCGATAGAAAGTTTGACTTTTCAGTATTTGGAAGTCAAGACTTTGATGCGTCTTTTTATAAAACTTATAAGTTTCAAAGTCTATCTATGAAGTAGGATTTTGAAATAATCGTTGGAGAACGGTTCAACACTTACCATAGACATATGTTGGAATTTTTCATGAATAGATAGCTCGAAGTGCCCTCTTCGAAATGTGAGTTGATGAGACCTTCCCTCGCAATCGTTTAGGTATAGCATCGGAGAACATCTCGAGCTACCCGTATGCAAAACTCTTGTATACGGATAATTCGATGTCTGGATCGTCTGAAGTAAGAAGCATCTCTTTCTTCTCCTCTCTAGACAAATGTTAGCAAATGTCTGATAGACAACCATCACATGTATGCATCGAGTTCAATGTTTCTCGCTCATTTTTTATTCAAATTAAAAACAAATCTTGTCGTTAAAGTCACAAGAATTTTGTCTAGTCAGATATGTAAAATAGCTTAAGACTTTCACAGTGAAATCCTGCAAACGATAAGATCAAAGTCAACACAATATTCTCCCATTTGAACAAACATACACATATATATGCTATTCACTTTGATCTTATCCTTTGCAAGATTTCACTGTGGAAGTCTTAAGCTATTTTACATATCTAACTAGACAAAATTCTTGTGACTTTAACGGAAAGATTTGTTTTTAATTTGAATAAAAAATGAGCGAGAAACATTGAACTCGATGCATACATGTGATGGTTGTCTAT